GGGTTCTAGAACAAATCACTCAATTATTTTGTCAAATTTGTTAAGTTCAGTTGAAAAAAAAACTTAGGTATTATACCCATGCTAATGTGAGAAACTGAAATAACAAATAGGTTATTGTAGCAAAACTTAAGAACATTTTGAAAAAAATAGGTAGTATTCCTGAAACTGAGATAACAAATAGGTTATTGTAGCAAAATTGAAGAACATCTTGAAGAAATAGGTATTATTCCTGTTACTTGTTATCTTACTGTAGCAAATCGTTGACACTTGCACATTTTTACAAGTTCAATCATGTCCAGTGCAGGGTATCCTTGGAGAACATCTTGCAACCAAAGCTGTAGCAGAACCTTGTAGAAAATGAGGTCTCGAATTTTGAATATTTGGTTGATGCACCAGTGTCTTTGGTCTCTGTTTTTGTTGACCATTGATCCATGTATATAACTTCTATGCAATTTGATCAGAAGTTATGTGAATTCGCAACTCTGTGATTAATGTAAACTATTGATGTGTCTATGCTTTGAATATTTTGAGTGGATCAACCATGTGGAAAACCATTAGGAGTACTATTTTTTTTGTTTATTGTTTTCTTATTTTTCCTGACGGTAATGCCTGACAGGAGCAGACCACTGCACTGATTTGCTAAACCTGATGCCCGCTTATCCCTGTCGGGCCAAGCCCGTCAGGAAAGAAAGAAAACCGACAGGAATTAAGGTCCTGTCGGCCAACCGACAGACATATATTAGTTTCCCTGTCAAGCTATGCCTGACGGCTAATCCTGACGGCCGGCCGACAGGAAAACATTTCGCTGTCGGTTTTCCCTATTTTCCTGTCGGTTTTGGGCTCACAGAGATATTTCAGTTTCTGGTGGTGAATTCAGAAAAGAATATGTAAGCGGATATAGCCGAAAACGAATACTAAGTTAATTATATAGTGAACATGAAATACAAAGGTGAAAGTTTGCTAGAACTCGAAAATCTCTAAGGCATGCATATAGAAAAATAAGTACAACATAACCAACAAAGTTGTGCAATTGCGCACCGGAGAGAAGGTCGCTAGTGAGCATGCGTGGAGGATAGGAGTGGAAGGCTTGGAGTCCATCAGAGGGGCGAGGATCAAGACAGTACAATGGATTAGGTTTTAGTGGATATGATTACGTTAGACTAAAAGTTTAGTGCGCTAAGCTGGGTAGGCTAAATACAAATGACAAAAGAGAATTCTCGTTAGTGCCTTCAAAATTTTCATTTCTGCATGACTAACATCCGAAAATGTTGTTCTGCTTCTGTTCAGAAAGATTTATGTTTTGTTTAACCAGTGACAACTTTTAGCTTCAGAATACATATGGTCTAATCTTAGAATGAAACCCTACAAGCCATCAAGCTCACCACGTACCAAGTTTTATGGGCCCTACAAAATTTTAGAAAGAATTGACAGTGGGACATGTAAATTGCAGCTACCTCTGTGGGCATTCACCCTGTGTTCCATGTCAGTCGGCTGAAAAAACACTTAGGCACACATGCAGTGCCGAGGTCAGATCTCCCTTTAGTGGGTGAAGATGGCAGAATCAAGACTGAGCGTCTAGCAGTTGTGGAAACAAGATCTCTCCGAAGTACCGGAGTTCTTGTTACTCAGTGGCTAGAGGAGTGGGAAAATCTCGAACCAGATGAAACCAATTGGGAAGATGCAAACTTTGAAGTTGTTCAGCAATCCACCAGCTCCCCAGAATTTAAGAATCTGCGGAGTACCTGTCCTCTCGCTCCGCGGTTTTTGACTGGAACTCCGCCAGCTCTGGGAGCGGAGTCGCGGAGCGGAGGGACTCCGAACAGGCCCTTCATCAAATGGGTGTTCCACAATTTCTTTGCAAGCGCCATCAAAGCATAATTCCCGCATCGTTATACTTGAGGTCAAGTACTCGAGTATGTTCTTCAGGGGAGGTACTGTCAGCTGAATCCTGTTCTTCAAGCGTCATGTTATTCAGTTAACTGTCGTATACCGATTCATGTTATTCAGTTAACTGTCGTATACCAGTTCAGCTACAGTTATGAAGATCCTACAGTGAAGGTTGACGATGATGAGATGAACGGTGGATCAAGACCAATGACTAAACTAGTGTTACTTTTGCCCCGCTTAATCACTGTTTACTTTCATCAATCAATTATTTACCGCGGCTGTAACTCACTATACAAGTGCCTGCATGCGAGTGAGTGGTTATATATCGAATGTACTGAACTATCAAATCCCTACATATATCCTTAGCTACTGTAGCAAATTCCCCAATTACTCAAAGGGTCACCACATCATGAGCTTATCACTGTACTAGATTTGTGATTTCTTCGATTTACAAGTCTGGTTCTCAGTAGGATGTGACACAGGTGAATTTCAGCGACCCTGCCCAGGCTGATGTTGCACTTCAGCCTAAACTTTTCATCGGACATCGTCACCGACTGATTGCTGTACAATCCTCAGCTTTTCTTGGACATGGCCCGATTGACACCACACCTGACACCATCATAGGGATTCGGCGGTCAGTAAATCCATCCTACTTAGGTTAGATGCATGTTTCATGCTTCAGAAATTTTGGAATTTGTATACTTTTTGTACTACAATATAACTTGGTCGGATAGAAAAGACATCCACCATATACAATACATGAATCTAAGATAAGTGCGCAAAATGAATCAAGAACTGTGCACTGGCATTTTGGTGAGGGTGATGATAAACAAAGCAATGAACAGAGCGTACCTGAAGTCCTGAAGTGGTAGCGCCTGCCATCAAGAAAAATGTGTGGTCATCTCATCAGTCGTCACTAATCAGTTATCCCTGGTTGACCGAAGATTTCAAGTGCCGTGACATAACATGATGACCTTAAGCATCCAAGTGCCCTGTTTGAATTAAAAAAAACTGATGAACAAACAATGCAAACGGTGTGCATATGAATCAAATAGTAATAGTGTGAGAGGATTTAGCATGGTGATATGATGTTTATGCACAGGCCACAACACTTCATCGCCCGCTGCAGCCCGACGCACCTAGCAATAGCATCGCCCTCCCACCCGCAAGGGTACGTAGCATTCCACTAGGTGTTCTTCAGCAGTACTCCTAGAAGAGTACGTCCCTTGAAACAGTATCTGGGAGGACTGTACATGCCCGCAGTTTCAGCTGAGCGACCTCGACGGTCCTCACCTCACGATCAATCAAAGCCTCCCTGCCGTCGAGCCCGACCGGCTTTCGCACAATCGATCTGCTGCTGATAAGTGAGGAGGCAGCAGAGGAGGAGATGGAGGTCGTGAGCCGATCAGGTGATGGAGGAAGCAAAACGAGACGGTGTTTGCAAACTAATGATGGCGTGCCAAACTGCCAATACAATACTTTGATAGTTCTTTAAAAAAAAACTTCAATAGTTCATTATCTCCAAAGAAAAAAAACTTAGATAGTTCTATGGCAAAGCCGTTGATGATCGGCTTCCTATGTGTGGCTCTGTATTCACGACAAGCGAAAGCGGCACCAGGCAGCTGCCTTCTCGGTGCCTCCGTGAAGAAATGGTCTCCCCTCGCCATATATGGTTCCATCCATGGGTTTGTGTGTGATCACTCGCGATTGATCTTCATTGATTTGCTCTTGAATCAGTGGTTGGTGCCATGAAACTCCATGCAGTTCAGAGTCCGAACATACTCGTATTTGCTAGGCTGCAGTTCGTATAACAGTCCACCCCACCTCCGACTTCAGCCTCCAGTTTTAGTCACAGATTGTCACCGACTGATTTGATTGCTGTATTGTCTTCAGATGTTCTTGGTTCTTGGACATGGCTCAACTGCCAATCCACACTAGGTCACCAGCACACCTGGCACCATGATTAGCGGCTCATCAGTAAATTCATCCTACTTAGATTAGATGTGCAGGCACCAGAATAATAAGTGTAAAACAATAGTCAAATAAGCTCCTACTTGATTCTGCTTGGGTGCAGCTACACGTGCGATGATTTTTGTACGATCTGTGTACGGCACCTTTTTTCCACTGACTCAATTCTAGTTTATTAGGTTCTTGTTTAAAAGAATAAAAAAAGCTGCATAACAGACGCCCATTGTGTTCACTGTAGGACTGGGATAATTTCATATGCAATTTTACCGCAGAGCAATTCCGTTCTGCTTATAGGACGAAGGTGTTAATAGAAGGCTGAGTGACGTAAGATTCATAAACAAAATTTTATTTCTTCTTAAAACACGCTTTCTTTCTTTTCTTTCTCACTACGATATAACATGTCGAGAGCTGAAACATATGATCAACATTTAAAATCAGGCAAACACATGCGTCTACGATAAGGTACGACAGATGAATCAGAAAAGGTGCACTCACGTGTAACGTGTTAGTGACGGTGATCATAAACAAACAATAAACTGGACATACCAGAAATGGTAGCGCCAGGCAACCAACAAATTAATGTGTAGCCATCACTCATTAAACATGATAGCATCCTATGTGAGATTGCGCTCCAGCGGCCCGTTGCCGAGTTTACTGAATAACAAACCTAGCAAAAAAATAACAATGCTTGAGCAACTAACAAAATAACAATGATTCAGAAAATAATATCACCAACAACTACAGCACTCAGCCACTGACAAATCTAACCAGGATATAAAACTAAAAGCGAAAAACATACCATGGTAAGTCTTGCTACAGCATAGCTCACACCCAGCCAGCAACTAGAAGACACAAGAATGAGCGGAAATTCATAATGCCCATGATAAAACAAAAGAGTTGCCACTTTCAACATGGTTTCCTTGGTCCATCCATCATGCAGCTAGAGTAGCTCATGGAAAGCCAAATAGGTATACGGCAGTTGCACAAATGTGCCAGTGACAGCGAGCGCAGCAATATGTACAACATCTCGGGTGGCTCCAGTCTGCAGAGAGATGAATAACTTTTAGCAAGAAGAGGGTGAGCGTGTAAACTATTTCTGTAGGGAAAATGCTCCGGAAGTGTACCTTGGAAGTAGACACCGGTGATTAATTCACATACTGATTATCAATCCTGACCCGTAGCTTCTCCGTTGCTGCCATTCTGCATTGCATGCTTAGCTCGTCACTACAATAGGATAACTGAAGGTGCCTGAGCGAAGTTGGGAGGCCCATGTCTGGCAGCCTTGTGATGCACTGACAATGAAAGATAGATAACCTCTCAAGGGAGGTCAGGCTATGAAGGTTTGCAGGAAGTGACAAGAGATGCGTGTAAAAAGAGAATTCAAGTTCTTGGAGGGAGGTTAGAAGCTGTAACGCTCTCTCTTGTTCCCCTGTTAGGCTCACCAAGCTCTCTCTCTGTTTACCACCCCGAGGACTGAACTCTAGGCGTGTTAGAGATGTGAGCTGCTTGCAGAAGGGCGTGGAAAGGACAGACGCATCACTAATCTCAAGAGTTTTCAGTCCAGAGCAGATCCCAGAGGCCCCTTGCTGGTGCGACACAAGCTCCAAACAGGAAGATAGGCCGGGGGAGTTAAATACTTTCAAGGATGTCAGGTTTCTACAGAACTGGAGGCCCTCGATCGACGCAAGCAAGTCGCAGTCTCCAATTTCCAACTCTTTCAGTGCAGTGCAGCATGCCAACTGTAGAGACGTCAGTTCTGGACTTCTCTGTACTGCTAATTTGGTCATGGCGGGAAGGCAGGACAGAAGACGGGATTGGACCCTGTCCGTGACAGCTGTGATCTCAAGTTTATCAAGTGACAGAGGAAATAGCTGAATTTGATTCCCACCCTGTTCTTGCTCCTGCAGTTTGAGATCCCATGCAGAAGACAGCTCCGGTCTCATCTCAATATACAAGCTTCGGAGGGAGGTGAGGAACTGCAAGCCCTCCAGTACAGCCAGCTGGACACACCCCCCGATTCGCAGCTCCTGTAAAGCCGTACAGGAATGCAGTTGTACAGACTTCAAACACGGGCCACCAAATAGACTTAACTTTTTTAGGTAGAGAAGGCCTTGAGGAGCAAAGGACTGCAGGTTTTCTGGGAAAGAACCGATAAAAAGGTTTTCAAGTGATGGTGGGAGTAATTCAACATCAATGGTACCGTCATCTTTCGTTTCACCCACCAACGATGAGACAAACTTAGGGCAACAAGCAAGGACTAGCTCAGTAAGAGAGGTGAATCTTGTAGAGTGTCTATTACCCCCAAAGAACTTCAGATCCAGGCTTTGCTGAATCCATAGCACCTTGAGAGAACATAGGAGATTATATGGCAGTTTCAATTCATGTTCATCTTGGGCTGAGGTCATCACTGCAGAAGCCAAACTGCTGGTTCCTTCCGTTTCTGTAGGTTGACTGATTGATAAAAACTTTATCTGAGGACAGCCCCCTAATAGCAACTTCTCAAGGGACTGTGAATGTGAAAGCAGTTGAGATAGCCACCTCCCAGTTACGCCACATCTGCTAATGTTGACAGATTTGAGAGATGGGAGGACAAGGCTGCTTGCAGACGTGCTGTTTTCCTGGACAATCTCTGGCATAATGTTTGACATAGTCAGATTAGGGCAGTCGTGTATACATAAAGTCTCTAAAGCGATGAGCTGGCTGAAAGATTCACTTGAAAGAGAGATCAGATTTGGACACCTTCTTATTTGAAACAATCTTATGCCCCCAAGGTTACTGAATGCCAGGATACTGTCATCTAGCACACTCAACTCATTAGATTCAATAGTGAACCATCTATGGTTTATACTCATTTGTGCAAGTCCCGGAACTCCCCTGATGGACATCTCGGAAATCAAAGCAGAAGGCGGAAGAGGGTGTGGCACTATCAAACAAGGGCAATCATGGATGGTAATTCTACGCAGACTAGATGGCCATCCCATTTGATCTCCTTGGGTCATTAGACTGCTGCAAAATTCCAGGTTTGGCATTTTAGTCAACACCAACTTCTCCAGAGAAGGAACTGAAACTCTGCCAACATGCAGGTCCATCAGCTCCAACTCACTGAGCGCCCTCATTTCACTTAGTGGGAGGATTTGCCAGTTGCTGCAACATCATTTATCAAAGTAAGTGTCCAACAATTTACAAATGTATTGAACAGGAAAAAAACAGAGAGAAGAAAATTACTTCAATATACAAGGACACTGCCCGATGGAGAGTTTGCTGAGAGACGGAAACCATGATTTCTGCTCAGCGTCGAAAGAAGAGTAACTCTGGAAAAGAGTGAGCTCATTCAGTTGAGGGCAGTTCTTGATCGTCAAAACCCTTAAATGGGAAGTCAATTCCATTCCATAAGAACCGGTACATTTTTCTAATTTTGGCATGCCAATCAAGATCAACTCTACCAAGGAAGGAACTGAGAGTTCCATTAAATTCAACATCCTGATCAATGTCAGCTTCCTAAGGGAATGCATTCCATGAGTTGGTAGAATTTGCCATTCCTTGCACTCCTCTAGATGTAGTATCTGCAGTGAGGTAACTGAAAACGCACTAGAAAGCCAGGTTGGGGAGGTAGCACCACCATATCCAGTTATTTCTAGAGTTTTGAGGTTCTGATGTGGTTGAAGACCATCAAGCACATCCTTTGCAGCCTCAGGTTGAAGGCTCATGCTACTATTCTCCCATGACAAGGACAATGTTTCTAGATACTCTTTGTGTGTCAGCATGGCCACCCTCGCCTCTTCTTTAGTCTTCACATTTTCAAGTTGAGAAGCTCCAAGTGATACAAGCTCATTCATGGACTGAAGTTGTCCTATCTCAAAACTGCCAACATTTTGAACCTTGAATTTTAGTTCCTGAAGAGAGGTCATTTTGCCGACGCAATATATCGCATGGTGCACTTTATCATGAGCAATAAGATGGCGCAGATTAACAAGATTATTCATATCAGTAGGTACATCACGATCGCCTGTAAAAATGCCCACATTCAATACTTGAAGGTGATAGCACCTTGTCAGAACTTGACAAAACGCAGGTTTTTGGTAGACTCCATATGCCATTATATAGCGAAGATGGCATGGATTCAATAAACTGTTTATATAACTGATGTCGCCACCTGGCACATGAATTCTTAGTAACCGTAAACATTTTGCCTCCTTGCATAAAGTATGTAATGAACCTAATAAATGTATGGTCCTTCGCCCAAACACCATCAATGTCCTCAATTTCTGCCAAGACACCTTCTGAAGTATTTTGTCAAACTTCTCACTAGAATTGCTGACATGTTCATCTTTATCATAATCAGTAATTATGATCGACAAATGCCGAACACTTGCTCGAATTGCCCCGGATTTCAATCCATCTATAGTAGCACACTCATTTGATGAAACCATCCCTGCCAATACATGCATTAGGTCATGCATAACATAGTGTGAGCCATCCTTTTGGAAGAAGCCCAAATCCACTAATTTTTCCAAATATTCATGCCCTGTTTCCTCCAATCTTATGGTAGGATCTTTGCATTGCACAAAATTCTGTGATATCCAGGCATGGACCAATTCTTTCCCATCAAATCCGTAGTCCTCTGGATACAAAGAGCAGTATGAGAAACACCGCTGAAGGTAGACTGGTAGATAATCATAACTGAGCTTCAAGATGGGTAAAATATCATCATCATATCCTTGAAGAGATTTCCATTTGTCCCGAACTGTCGTCCAATGCTCATAGCTAACATCTGTGCTCAGAAGTGCACCAACACTTTGTGCAGCTAGTGGGAAGCCTTTTAGTGCTTTAGCAATTTGTTTCCCAATAGATTGCAAACTAGGATGGTGCTCGCGGTTGTCATTGCGAAATGCACATGCCTTGAAAAACAGCCAAAACTCCTTCTCATCCAGACCACTCAATGTGATTTCATCCATAGTTCCTATCATTTTTGCCACTGATTTTGTTCTGGTTGTTGCTAGTACCATGCAACCTTTTACTTTATTACTTTTCAATGGAGCCAAGAGTTTAATCCATCCACTCCTGTCCTTCTCTTCCCACATATCATCCATTACAAGCAGAAATCTTTTGTTTCTAATATTTTCTTGAAGTATCTCCTGCAATTTATTCAAACTGCTTTTTTTTTCATATGGTCTATCTTCACATACATGATCTAGGATCTGAAGTGTTAGCCCCACTACATCAAAGTTAGTGGATACACAGACCCATATTAGCAAATCAAAATGATCTTTAATTCTTTTAGCATGGTATACATATCTAACAAGTGTCGTCTTCCCAATACCACCACTGCCAACCACTGGCAGAACATTCAGATCACTAGATCCCCCCTTTATCAACATATCTATTATCTTGTCTCTCTCTGCATCTCTTCCGTACACCTTAGACTCAATCGGAACAGAAGTTGTCATGTAATGATCCCTGGCAATATTCTGACTCTTACTTGATGTTGCCATGGTGCGCAAGTTCTCAAGCTGAAGAACCCCCTTTACAGAATTTCCATTACTGCATAGAAGATTCACTATTACATTGATCCTCTTAGAAATGCTATCTTTAATCTCAAGAGGCAGCATGTTACAATGAGCAAGCCCCTCTTCTTCACGTTTCCTTTTTCTGCCATGTGAGATCCAGTCAGTTATTTGGCTTGTGGCACTGCATACTAATTTAACCACAGAGGATAGAGTGGATGAAGACACATAGCTTCCTTCAAGATTAGTACCAGTAGGAGCACTACAACCTTTCCCTGCATAAGAAAACTCTCAGTTATTTGGCGACAAGCAAACCAAGGCCACTTAAGCAAAAGCAAATATTATCATGCAAGTGCTAATAATTAATAAAAGTTCCAAAATTTAACAAAAGCTGAATTCAAAAAGATCACAATTAAGCAAGAGATAATCTGAGAGGTGGTGCCTACGATATTCAGCTACTCTTGGTTACATATTACGCCTACATAAAAGAAACTGAAAGCAATAAAAATGAAACAGTAAAGAAATATGAAGCACCTTCTATGATCTGTTGCTCGAGTCGGTAGTAGTCAAGCTCGTCCATCACGTCCTCTGAGTCATAAATCAGCCCTCTGAGATCATCCAGTGACTGGGCCAGAGGCATATTGTCAATACTCCTTCCCTTGGCAGCAGCAAGAACCATCTGCACATACCTCATCTGAAACTTGAGCTTCTCCACATCTTCAGCAAGCCCGATTTCACGAGTCCATGCTTCCATACGTTCAGTAAAGAAACTGTCAAGGATGCTTTGCACCAGCCATCCTATTGCTGCATCAACCACCGTGCCAAGCAACCCCGACATCTTTCCCGGCACACCTATGGCAGCACAGCAACGGCAGGAGCAAAGGTAGGCCTTGCACAGCGGAAAAACCAAACAGATGGTCTCAGAGGAAAGGAGAGTTTTAGTGAACCAAAAGGCAGGCAGCAATTCAGCAAATGAGAAGAGTCTAACAATGCACCAAAAAACAGCTAACTTTACCAGGTAACACTAGCATCCCTTCAACTGACACACAGGCCCCTCATGGCAAGCTCGAGGTGGGGTCCGCACGGCCGTGGAACTGTGGAAGTCATTGATCAAGTCTTGGCTCCACAGTCGCACAATATTGTATGACTGTGAAATAGACTCCTCTTTACTGATAAACATGACTTAGCTGTCAGCCATGTGGAAAAGACGAGCTTATGATGTTACATGACAATTATAGAGTATTTTCGTGGAAGCTGAGCCTAGAGAAGAGAATAAAGGATAAGCAGTGGTCCTAGAGCAGCCTGGAATATGTGGACGCATATGCATACTGAACAAATGGTACAAGCAGTACGGGACAAGACATCACGAAGGGTCATGCTATCGCTAGGCTTAAACTGAATACTCATTATATACTTTGATTGATGTTGATGGTTCCTGATAAGTATGTGCAACCTTGTACCGAGTGACAAATTAATGAGATGCTTAGTGTCGATGGTTTCTACAACCTTGCACCAATAAAAAAAATTAATGAGACAGCTTGATCTTGATGGTTTATACACAACCTTGTGCCTGTCAACAAAATCTTGGTATGTAGAGTACGAGCAGCTATCTAAGACGGAGCCGGGGGAACGATTACACCGGTCAATTCCTCAAACACGGTGTCCCTAGAGATCCCAAACGGCTATCTTGTGTAGGGTACGTTTCCAAATTCTGAAGGCAGTAGGAACCATAGCAAAACCATTTTATTTACTTTGAAGCGGCTCTGTATGTTCAGTTAGCATAGCAGATAACCAGACTGCACATCCCTTGGTCTGCGGACATGGGTAATCTGGCCAAGGAAGCAACATATGGTAGAAAAAACCCAGAGACTTTTCTTACCCTCGTGCTGCGGACCAGCGAGGGTGAGCCACCAGGGCCAGGGGAGAGCCATGGACACGATGAGCCCACGACATCGATCCTCCGGCTCCACCACTCGACGGGACGCTGGGATGGAGATCGCCGACGCTGATGGCTGCGCTAGCTAGGGCCACCACCCGCGCGTGGACCCCGCGTGGACCAGGCGCAGATTCTCCGGCGGGGCATTTCGTCCAACACGTCGAGGGCGCGACCCCGCTGGACAGCCGCGAGCGTGGCCGGGACGCGGGCAGGCACGCACGCCGCGGTAGACGGGCTCGTCCATGAGTGGCGCGATGTGGATTCTGGTGCGGTTACGAGCGGCGCGGAAATGCGTGGTAGAGGTGTCGGCTCGAGGCGAGGGGGGAAGGGGAAGAGAGTGGCACCAAGGCCGTGATGAACAGGTCTCAGCTCGGGTAGCGGCCGGTTACAAAACATCGCGCCTCTATACATGTAAATTTGGTCTTTCTGAAAACAAAGCGGAAATATTTAGAAAGTCTGGTCAAAAAAATCTGGAAAAAGACTGCTGTCATTTGGGTTTTTTTTTCTTGTTTCTGTCCTAAATGGCTTGCAGCACCAACGTAGTCGTTGCTACAATCCGCGCCACACCGTGCCATGAGACTGAGCAGCGTCGCCATCGATGTTGCGGGCTGCACGGCCAGCCATTGCAAAGGCTTCACAACATGGGCGATGCTGCAACAGCTCATGGCCCAGCCAACCTTTATACAGAAGATCAAAAACATTGCAGGGGCCAAAAATATTCAGTTCTATTTGATGTTGTAAGCATCTACAATGATTTTCCCGTTGCATTAGCTGCAAAATTCCAGCGATGGGTTCTCCCTGGCTAAATCTTAGACATTTTCAAGTGCTTCTCACTACTGTTAAGCTAAGTTGGATACCCCAAGCAAACAAATGAAATATGCATATTTAAAAGGTCAACCAAATCACCAAAGCAAAGCCAAGAGGTAATATATATATATCTGACCAAAATTCATCACGAGTATAAATCTCCCAAACAGACGACATAGTCTGGCAGATAAACCACCACGGTCCACAATAATAATAATAACATAATATTAAAAACAGCAAGTACGAGTCTCCAGGCAAAAAGGAAATGTTCGACATTTCACTAGGGGTGGGTTGGAGTTTCTGCGCAATTTCAAGCGGAGTCACCAATTTCAGTCATCACCGAAAGTTATCTTCTTCCCTGCCAAAGAAACAACAAACAAATGTCAAAAACCAGTACTTCTCTGCCAGAAAGATAATGAAACTAGAGCAGACTGGTGTTCATGTAGGCGGGAAGTTACCTGCACTAGGTGTGCCAGCACTCTGCCTGGGGGGTGCACCACCCCGACCACGGCCCCTGTCACTCCGGCCGCCTCTGTCACCCCGGCCGAATCTTCCACCACCTCTGCGGCCCGCGCCCCCGTCAAATCTTCCACCTCTGCGGCCCGAGCCCCCATCAAATCTTCCACCTCTGCGGCCCCCGCCCCCGTCAAATCTTCCTGCTCTCCTGTTACCACTATCAGCGCCATCTCTGTTATCTGCCCTAGGCTTGGCTTCATCAACAAACAAGCTTAAGCCTTCTCCAATGTTAGACCCGTTCAGCTCAAGCGCTTTGGGCAAAGAACTGCTGTCATCAAATTCTATGTACGCTATCCTGCAGGACCAAACCAAGCAGACAAGAGTCAATTACAAGATACGAGGATATGGATTGACCTGGAGCAGGCACATTTTATATGCCAGAGCGCTTTCCGCAAAGAACTTACCCTTTGCTTGCGCCAGTATCATAATCCTTTGGGATTGAAACTCTTCTAATATCTCCACATGAGCTAAAATGATCTTGAAGCGAGCTTCGGATCTGGTGACAGAAAACATTTACATATAACACAAGACTCAAACTTTTAACTCGGTCAAATCAATCAGATTTTACCACAAAAAGACATGTTTAACGCTTTGAATTACCTCTTCCTCCCCAAGAGATGCATCAAATCCTCTAACAAAGGCAGTATTGCTTTGACCAGGCTTCTTGAAAGAACTATTGTCCCTCCTGAACACAGAAAATTAGGCGCATCCATGGTTAGCATGTCCAGGCAATTTCTAGGTAGATAATCGGTGGGATAGAAAATCACCCGCTGCCAGGAGTAATAGCGCCTCGCTCACGAGCAAAATCAAGCCTGACAGGCCTCCCCGCCAAATTTTCTCCATTTAATTCATATGCCTAACAGCGTCAGAACATGGATAACCAAATAGAAATTAGATGGCAATTAAAATCTTACTTCACAGATCAGCTGATGAGACTACATGGATCACAAAGAAACATAGTGAGGTACCTTTTGAGCAGCTTCAGTTGTAGCAAATTCAACATGTGCAAAACCCTTGAAGCTCCCATCATCAGCGGTAGCAAAACGAATATCCATAACCTCACCAGCCTCCCCAAAAAATTGCTTCCTACAGGATGTGGAACAAATGAAGTTAAGAACATCTTTCAGAAAAGATGCAATAATAGCACATCTCACAAACTTACACTTGTTCAGTCTCCACATTGTATGACAGATTCCCAACAAAAAGGGTCTTTGACCCAGTAGTAGCTTGACCACTGCTGGCAGGAGTTTTTGGCTGCAACAAATAAAGTCAAGGCTGAAGTCAAGCATCCATCAAACATAAGAGGAAAAATTAGAACAGCATAAATATACTCGAACCATACTTCGTTCTGCTTGGGTTTTGCCACTGACACCGATTTACTCTTTTCCTCATCACTGTCAGAGCTCTCTTCAGAACTGTCATCATCATCACTGCTTTCTTTCTTGGCAGCCTTAGAGACTGGCTTGGCAGCAGCAGAAGATGAATCCTGAAATAGAGCAAGAAATGCAATATGGATCAAAATCTTCAGACGGAAAAGCAAAAACCAAAAATAAGCACCTTAGGTTTCTTTTGTGGAGGCTCTTCCTCATCACTCTCATCAGAACTATCATCAGAATCATCCTTGGACTGCAAATATTGAATTACAACAAGATCATTTAATGTACAACAAATATCACAGAAGACAATGATTTCAAGAAAATAAAATTTTAAAAAGTATACGTACATGTTCACTCTTTTTCTCTGTTGTCAGAGGCCTCTTCGCAGGAATAGCAGATTTTGCTGGCTGCAAAACATTGGAAGGGATTTTAAACACTGCACAACAAAAAAGTGACCAGGAGTAAGCAAGTAACAGAACACTTACTTCATCAGAATCTGAATCCGAGTCACTATCTGAGCTGCCACTAGATTCTTCTTTCTTTACAGAAACTGTTTTAGCGGTGGTATCCTGGGCACAGAAAGTAACCACATTAGAAAGATGGCACAGACAGAAGATTTTGCTAGCAGCGAAACAATGTGAAAGACAAATATCACAAGAGAAGTTACCAAGAGTAAACAAGTACAACAGAGAACTTACTTCTTCAGAATCTGAATCTGAGTCAGAATCTGAGCTATCACTAGATTCTTTGCCCTTCTTAACAGCAACAGCCTTGGAAGATTGAACTGGTTTAGCAGTGGTATCCTGGAAATATATTGAAAATGTTAGTATCACATTATGAAGAAAGAATGATGAAGCCTTAGTTTTCATATAACTAGTAGGCTGATTACCTCCTCCTCAGAGTCAGAATCAGAACTTTCACTGGATTCTATCACTTTCTTGGCTACTGGTTTTTTAGTGGCCATATCCTGCAAATGTTTATCCAGTTAGGACCAACAAATCTGAGGATTAAACGACAAGAGCAGGGGAATGGTAAGTGCAAGAATGTGTTTTATGCTTTTGTACTCAATTATCTCACATAGAGATACATCGCTAGAAATATGATCTTACCTCATCTGATGAATCATCAGAATCACTGTCAGAGCCGTCCTGGTTCTTCTTTTGTGCAGTGGCAACCGCAGAATTCTTCACTTCAGTAGCTGGCTTCTGAAAACCAATTAAGCGAAACATGGTGAAATCAGGCAAAATAATATTTAGAAGTGCTATTAAAAGATGAAGCCTCCACTTCGAAATCAGTAGTTAAATGACTACCTCAGAGTCAGAGCTTTCAGAATCAGAACTTTCACTGGATTCTTCAATCTTCTTGGCTGCTGCTGGTGCTTTAGCGGGAAGCATATCCTGCATACATTGTTACACTCAGGACTAACAAAATATTGCTGGTGAAGCTGGCACTTTGTGCATACTCCGCAAAATAACCATGATAGCAACAATGGGAAGTATGAGACCGAGCACATAGAGTACTCACTGTCTGACTCATTATTCATATAACAGTGCTAATGGTTGAGTTCAGAATTGAGTTTTACCCATGTGTTATGTTAGTATTTTTGGAAAATAAAATAAGCTCAAGTTCATTCATTATATGCCAAACAATACTCATTACAATACCTTTTGTAAGCATTCACAAATTTATTGATTTAGATATACAATAGTCATGCACCATATTCATTACTTCAATACAAAATAAACTCAAGATACATTTGTCCTTCAGCACACAAGACACAGCTCCGAAGAAAATTTAGCAGTTCAAGGTCTCAACTAAGATGTGTTGTTGTGGAAAAACATACAAATTAAAAATCTGGAGCAAAAACGGAACCTATTTTCATATTGCATCAGCAAGAGGTCCATCAAGGGAAATAAAACAACGAACATATCTAGCTAATATCATAAGCTTGAAGTTTAACATACAATGAGACAAGAAAGAAAATTTGAGGACTATGCAACAACTCGTATTAGGCAATAGAAGGGAAAGAATAATTATGAAGATGTCATGGAAACAAATACTCACTTCATCCTCATCAGAGCTGCTGCTATCTGAATTTTCAGTCTTTGCAGCAGGTTTCTTTGAAGCGGCAGCAGACTTCTTTGCAGGTTCATCATCAGAGCTGCTCTCGTCACTACCATCAGAGCTGGACTCCTGTTTAGCAGATTGTGCAGCCTTCTTGGGTGGGACCATCACCTGGGAAAGATGATTACAGAAAGAAGTGAAAATTAAGAGGAAATCACATACAGATTAGATAGAAAAGGAGAAAGAATAATTATGAACATTTCACTAAAACACTCACATCCTCATCGGAGCTGCTGTCCGAGCTGCTGCTGTCAGACTTGACTTTCTTTGAACCATTGCTAGCAAGTGCAGTGGGTTTCTTCGAAGCAGCAGCAGGCTTTTTTGCAGGTTCGTCATCAGAACTGCTCTCATCGCTGCTATCAGAGCTGGACTCCTGTTTAGCAGACGGTGCAGCCTTCTTTGGTTGAACCATCACCTGGGAAAGATTTATTTAGAAAATTGATTTCAGAGAGTAGTGTAAATATACACCTAGGTGACAACAATGACACAAGCAATGAATGGAAATTATCTTGATGCGGGAATAATTCTATGCAGTATCATGTCCAAAATAATAAACTTCAAATACACAATGCATGCTACAGTACTATTTAACAAAAAAGAAGGCAAAGAGAAGAACAGGTGAAGCACCTCGTCCTCGGATTCTGAAGAATCCTCATCAGAACTGCTGCACTCGACCTTCTTTGGAGGGAGCTTCTTGACTTTAAGATCATACTTCACAGGCACGGCCTTCTCAGGTGCAGTTTTCTGCTTCTTGGCACTGACAGCCTTCTCAATGTCATCTTCCGCATTCCTCTTGCCTGCAGATTGAGATCACGGGAGTTACGGCACAGAATGATATTACTACATAAAAACAAGGAGACATATGGTTACTCAAATATATACCTTTCTTTCCAGATTTTGCATCTGGGACCAGCCCAGAGGCAGGTGCAACCTGAACAGCAGACTTCTTGCTCGATTTACCCATGGTATGTATTTTCTGAGCTCTGCACAAGGAGATGGGCGTCAACTTAAGAGCAACAAACACAAACAACGCACAATTCATCTACCCTTGGCAAGCTACACAATTTCTCAGCGTAAGTTTTCACTGAATCCTGATAGCCCGTTAATACCAGCAACTAGACATTAACACAGAACAGCATAACGAAGCAGCACAGGACTACCAACGTGTACAACAAAAATAAAATCTATGGCTAAGCATAATCAGGGCATATCTCGGGCTGAATCCTACCCGCTCGACAATTGCAAAGGATTTTGTCGCGTAGAGGCTTAAAACCAAAAATCGGAGAGCATCCTACAAGTACAAACGATTCGAACCGACCAACCTCGCAGCGAACACGAAATCAGCGCTACCAGCTACGGGCGACGCAGCCGCGAACTCGACTAAGCACAGCGCTGCCCGAGGAGCGGCCACTCCTCGGAATTCAGG